TTGTCGGCGTCATGGTGGCAGAACAGAGAGGAGTGAGAAATGGACTGGTCTGATGATGCACGTAAAAAACATCCAAAACAAACCAGCTTAGAACAAACTAAAAATTATTAAAGATCCAACAGTGACAAGGTTTTGAGTCCAGGAAAACACAAAACCACAAATTATAATAAATTACAATTCTAATAATATAGTTTAGACTTTTAGTAATCAAAGAATTGGAAACACTTTATACTGTAGTTTCAAACTGGCCAGAAATGTATTTACATGTCCTCTTAACTTTCTGCATTAAGAAGCTCAGAAATTCTTCTTCTTCTTCTTCTTCTTCTTCTTCTTATTATTATTATTATTATTATTATTATTATTATTATTAACAACAACAACAACAACAACAACAATAATAATAATAATAATAATAATAATAAATACATTTTCCAAAATATCAAATAACCTCTAACGAAGAAAATGTCTTGGACCTTAAAGCAGTTAATTGAATGAAAAACATAAAAATTCTGATTTTGACACAAGTAAAATAAACATCAGCTGCTTCTCCACATCAAAAGGGACCAGGTGAGGTGGCTTGGGTATCTGGTGAGGATGCCTCCCTGTGGAGGTTTTCTAGGCACATCCAACTGGGACGAGATCTAAAGGAAGAGCCAGGACACGCTGCAGGGACCAAGCCTCTCAGCTGGCCAGGGAATGCCATGGAATTCCGGTGGAGGAGCTGGCCCCAAGCAGCTTAGGAGAAGGAAATCTGAGCTTCTCTGCATAGAATGCTGCCCCTACAACCCAACACTGAAAAAGTGGATGATAATGGATGGATGGATGGATGGATGGATGGATGGATGGATGGATGGATGGGAAAATTAAATTATGCATTGTTTTTTTTCCAACATCCAGGGCAAATAAATACAGTGAAATCAGGACAATCTATTTAATTTTGTCAACAGATTCCTAGGATAAACAGTGTGTGTGCTCGGGTGTGTGTGTGTGTGTGTGTGTGTGTGTGTGTGTGTGTGTGTGTGTGTGTGTGTGTGTTATACCTTCAGTTTATTCACCCGCTGTTGTTCTTAAATAATAGACAGTAACTCAAAGTGTGAAGTTTAAACAAATGTCTGGATGGATGTGATACCAACTATTGTTGCTAAAACAAAACAGCTCTGTGAACTGTTTAATCTGTATTTAAACTGTAAACTGGGATGATTACCTGGGGCTGTACATTTGCCTCAGCGTTAACGTCATGGTGGGCCGACATGGAGATTAACTCAGGTAACTTTCAGGTGAAGTTTGTTTAAAAGACATTTTGTAACCTTCAGCTTAATCTTAATGACCAGAAACATAAACAACTCAGTTTCACCAGAGTACTATAGTATTATAATACTATAAACTACGATGTTAAATGCTCTGCTGATGTTAAATCTGAAGCAATGATGAGTTTTTGCAAACTTAAACAGGTAAGATAGTTTAATGAAATCCAAGCAGAGAAGTAAAAATGAAAAACATTGAGAGGAACTGGTAGAAATGATGGAAACTGAGGAAGATCCCAGCTAATGAGGTAACGAGACATATGGGAACAATGAAGGTAATGGATTACAAATGTGGGAACAGGAAGTTTGATAAATTCCTGAAATTATAATTTCTGTAAATCAGTCGGGTCCTGTTGGTTTAAAGCACGGGTGGCCATCATGCTAAACTATTCAGAATAAATCAAAACACCATTAGTGCCAGATCATGTTGTTTATAGCACACATGTGATGATTCTAAAAAATATATGCATTTTTGTGATGTTTCTCTCAAAGCAGTCATGGGCAGGTGTTACCCTTTTTATTAGTGTGTGTCTGTTAGCTACGTTTACTGATGTTTACGGGTAATAAGTAGAAATGTAATGAAAGTACATCCTGGTATTGAGGTCGTAAGGTGGTGAAAGCCAGAGGGATGCTGTTACAGGATCAGTTTATTCTGATAAACTGATCCTGTGCAGCACAGGATTTTAAAAGTTCCCCCTGGTTGTACACTGAAAACGCAACAGGCAGCTTGTGTTTGGTTTAGTTACCATAGCGATGTAGCTGGGATGAGAGTGAGCCAGTTTCACACTGAAACCTCCGACTTTAAAGGTCTACCTTCCTGTCAAACTCAATCACACAGCCCAGCACTCACCTACAGGACAAACCTGCTGATAAAGATCAGGAGGGATCACAGTAGCGGCACAGCGGTGATAACATGGTAGAAAAGCTGTCAGGGGTTAAAGATTCATCCTGATTGATGCACTTGTTGTTGATGTGCATGAACATGTTCAGTTTTACAGAAGATGAAAACTAAAGGTGTTCTGTCTTACACCACAGTGCAAATCCAAACCAGCAGAATCAAGACAAAACAAAGCATAAAGATCAGAAACCAACATGCGCTCCCTATTCTTAGTAAAAGAGTATTTATAAAACTGTTTTGTTACAGAGAAGCTGCTTGATGTCTTTATTAATTAGCAATCTTTTCTTTAATTCACCCCTGCCGCCTCCCCCGATCCACTCTCATCTAATTTTCTGGGTGTGAAAAAGAGCCGAGAACAAAGCAGCATAGAAGAAATGAATTATTTTCCTCTCTAAACCCATAGAAACCTTTCTTGGCCATCAGATTTTCTCTCACAGACTTTGCCTGTTGCCTTTGTTCTCTGACAGTAATATTAATGCCACTGGCAGCTCTGATTATCACCAACCCCCAGAGCCCTCGCTGTTTTACAGCTGGGTTTGTCTAAATCCAAAGTGTCTCAGAAACAAACCATTAAGAATGTGTTTTTGATTCAGCTAAAAAAAAAAGTTATTGTTTTACTGCCACGTTAACACGGCTTTACTATCACCTCCATCTCGTCCAGATCCTTTCATGTTGAGATTCGGTGTGCCTACAGTAATTTCCCTTTGTGCTGCTCCCCATTGCCAAGGCCCTACGATGCACCGTGGCCAAAGAACTGATGCGACAAATGAGGAGGAATTAAGTAGAGGCAGGCAATAAGTCAAACATGGAAGATGAACAATAATGAACTGGATGTGGGGGTGGTCCTCCAAGGCCTTGTCAGCGTACACAAGCCCCAGTCTTGAGGTAGATGGAGATTGATGAGGGGATCAGGAGGCTGTTAAGGAGGTTGTCAATAAGAACAGAGGCAATCCCGTTTGATATGGGCCATGGATCTCACATAAGCATAGACATAGAGACTTGCGGTGTTTCTTATTGTCAAGGAACCTCGTCTTGATGCCTTGGTCCCGCCCCGGTTGCCTAGGAGATACTCCATCAGGATCCGCCAATTTGTGTTAGAATGTTCATGTGCTGCAGAGGTGTCTGTCCTCTGCTTGTCTGCCATTTAGCTAACTGACCAAGGATACACAGGAGGTGCCTTGTTGCCTTCCCTTGGTCAAAAATTTCCCAGAACACAGCGCAGTATTTTCGAAAGGAAGGCAGATCAGGAGCCAGTAGCTACTTCGAAGCAAAATTCCAGTTTCAATGTAAGTCAACTAATTGTAGTTATCAGGCTGATATCTAAAATGTTTTTTTAAGATCAAAGCAGTTAGCTATGGGTGGTTAGTTGCTTAGTAGTTGCAGCTTTGGTGGCTAACAGGTAGTAACTCACTTATATATTTAATTTAACTAATATATACACAATTAAAATCGTAAACATATGTCAGGTGCCTTGACATTGAGAAACACCCCTAGGCTCCCTATCTACCTTATTCCTGGCTAGGCTCATGCAGAAGCAATGATGCAAGCAACATTTAGTGAGATACCGGAAGTAGCGCATACTCACTGGTTTGCACGGTAAGGTTTTGTCGCTAGAAACAGTATTTTTTTACATTTCAAGAGCATTTTAAAAACTATTTACACCCCAATAATGTACTTTAATTTGCGAGTACAAGAGCGCTGTTTACAACATGCACCTTGGAGTAAGAGAGTCTGTGGCTGCCAGCGTCAGTGCAGCTTTCACCGCCTCCCCAGAGATGAGGAACCCATAAGGTGGCTGAAAATTCATAACTTGAAAACCACCAAAGACTTTATTTGTGCATTCCTTTCATTTTGTAGTGAAAAACCAGACAGGAACAGTCGCATCCTTCTTTGTTGTTGGGATGTGACAAACCTCCGGAGAAGAGACACCAGGTAGTAGAGATTTGACAGCAGTCTCACAATAACAACAGGTAGGATTTCATGTGTACACTTTAATGTAACGTGTGTTTAGACTGCCGTTATTAACCTATAAGTGCATTCCTGCAATTTGTATTTCATCTGAAGCTAAAACTCAAGCTTGGTGGTAAATAAGATTCTGTCCTATGTTTCTCAACAAAACACAGAATCAGGTTTATTTCCATGTAGGTGAGCGGCTCATCTACTAGGGCTTTGTTTTGGTACATACATGTCAGGCAATAGAAGACTTCTTGAAGACAAGATGAACGGTTCTCTACAAGGACTCAGCTCTCATCGCTCACGTTGAAAACTTGTTCAAAAGATTTGACTCGCTCGTCATCACTATCTTTCACTGTAACCTTTGGTTTCAGGGTCCTTGTGCTTGCTGTTCCTCTAGTCCCCTAGTTGTGATATGTGGTTATCGCATCTGAAATCAGATGGCAGAAAAGCACTCCACTAAAGAAAAACATCACCAGCCGCCACTGCTTCTGGCATCGCCGGTTTGACAGAAGCATCTCAGGGAAGATACCCGAAGGAAGGGGTCAGAGTTCCGTTACCGTGTTCAAAAACTAGCTTGTTTTCAGATTTGCCATGACAGCTTAAAGGTTCAGCCAAACTCCAGACAAGATCTAAAATGATCAGAGAAGCTACTAAAAAAAGTCTTTTTTTTTTTCTTTTTTTTTTTAGAATTTTTCAGGTGTTCATTGACGCGACGCAAACAGAGATGTGATACTAAATCCCACTGGACACAGATCTTTAAATACCTTGCATGTTTATCGGTTGTTCGAATGAACAAAAAGAACAAAACCAGTGACATTTTGAGAAATAAGAGTTTCTCATACTTCTTAGGCCTGTAATCTGGGATGCTCCTGTCCAGGGAGATGCGATCACTGAGCTGAGCGTTGTAGCCGTACTCCTCATACTTCCCCTCTGAATCGTGGCTGTCTTCTCCAAGAGTGGCAGCAGCTCCCCCTTGGCCAAGACCTCCAGGTCCCTCCACCAGGCCCATGGGCTTTGCTAAACCTTTCACAAAAACAACAGAGAGAAACTGTCACAGTGATGCAGATGGCCAAGCGTCGAGGCAAGCTAATGCTATCGAGGAAATGAGCGATATTTGGAACAAGAGGCCGTGCAGAGGGGAGGCAGAGTGACAGCAGTGTGAGAAACTGGTGTCCTGCAGCTCGGAGGCATGTCAGGGCTCATCCAAGGAGCATCATTATACCGCCTGTCAGGCTGCAAAACACCCACAGGGAAGCTGATGTCATAAAAATATGCAGCAGCTAAAAGAGCGACAGAGGGACAGCGCTGCAGCAGGGTCCAGAAGGGGTTTCCTGAGAACAGCTGTATGTGAGAGTCGTTGGTTTTACATTACATTTGAATTCTATCTGAGCTTCATTCTTTTGTTTAACCTCATTTATTCACCATGAGTCTCAAGAGTCTGATTTTCCTGCTCCCAGCTTGCTACTCATCTCACCTGCTACTGAGCCCTAATCAGCACATCTGTTTCCTTAGGGTGACAGTGGCACAGGTGTTAAGTGCTCGGCCCATAATCAGAACGTTGCAGGTTTGAGCCTTGATCAGTTTGTCGCTGTAGTTGTGTTGTTGGGCAAGACACGTAGCCCCCTTGCCTGCTGGTGGTGGTTGGAGGGACTGTTGGCGCCTGTGCTCGGCAGCCTCACCTCAGTGGTTTACATCCCCACCAGCGTGTGAATGTCTGAATGACTGATGGAGTTGTAAAGTGCCTTGGGGGTTCCAGAGCTCTAGAAGGCCCTATATCAAATACAGGTCATTTACCATTTATTGCCATTTCCTCTTTGGTCTCCAGACCCTAAACCTGAAA